TGATAATAATAAAGGGTTCAGTTTGACATTCTACAGGCCGGAGCATACAATGGCTGAAACGTTGTGACAAAGATGAAAACAATAGTTCAAATAATGTAAATAATTATAATAATTAAAACAATTCATATCCAGTAAATGTTAAAGTAAGGGATTGTCAATGGTCAGCAAGTAGTATTGGCCTACTGATCTATATGTATAATTGCCAAAATAACTCTGATATTCATAAAATTCAGAGCTAAAGAATGAATACTTAAAACTGCTTTCAATATGACTATATATATATATATACTATTTAATACAGAACAAATAGGAAACATTTATGAATTTGACATGTTTTACTTTTATTTAAGGATAATCAGAAATGAAATATGGAGGAGAAAATTTCATTGGTTAAGCAGACCTCATGTGTATCTGTCTTGTCAAGTAGTGTTTGTATGAATAATTTATGTGTGTATGTGTATCACAATTCTAAATTCCTTAAGTTACAAAATTAGTCTGATGAAGTCCTAAAGGCTGAACATGTCACGCGAAAATCTTTTTCCATTTTGCCATATATTTTTCTACCAATATTGCTCTTTATATATCGTTATCACATACATATATTCATATATTTATTTATATATATATATATATATATATATATATACTATTATTATTATTATATCTTAGATATTAAAACAAAAACGTTGAAATCTCTACAAAATTGCTTTCTTTCATTTGGATATATATATACACACACACAGAGTTGCAGACAGAATTATTCACATACCACTTCCATAATTACAAATAAAGCTGTAATACCTCAAATTTTTATCAAAACTTCCTGTGCATTTTTTGACAAATGATGAAATAATGGATTTGAAAGAATGGACAGTTATGCCCACAACAAAATTTTTATTTTAATGTCAAACAATAATACAAAAAAAACACCAAAAATATTTAACATAGGACAAAATTATTTGCCCTCTTGACACAATAATCAATTTTTTTAACCTTTATTCTTAATTATCGCCTTCAATAATTTTTTATAGTTCTCTACAAGATCACCACACACACAGATAGATGTTTTACTCCATTATTCCTCGGCAATAGCTTCTAGTTCCTTCAAATATGAAGGAATTTTTCATTTTATTTTTTCTTCAAATATGCTCAAATTTTCAATCTGGTTTAAATCAGAACTTTGTGCTGGGCACAAATTTTGCCGTCATTTAAGTATTTTATAACAATTTGTGCATTGTGTTTCAGGTCACTGTCACGTTGGATTGTCCAGTGACACCCCAAAGACAAGTTTCATGAACTTTGTTTTATATTATTTTTAAGACTAACCAAATACTGCTCTTTATCTATAATACCCTGTACTCTTACTAATTCCCCTGGTCCAGAAGCAGCAAAATGTCCCCATAGCAGAATTCTCCCACCACTGTGCTTAATTGTAGGGAAGGTATTTTTTGGTTTGTGATCTTCATTCATTTTCCTCCATATTTCACTGAATTTCATGTGACCAAATAATTCTAGTTTGGTTTCATCTGACCGTAAAACAGAGTTCAAATATTTACTTCCATGTTCTAGATGGCTTCTGGCATAAGCTAATCGGCATTTTAAGTGTTTCGTCTTAAGCAAGGGAGTTTTCCTTGGATGACAAGCTCAAAGTCCTGCTCAATGAAAGCATCTAGTGACTTTTTTTCATTGATACATTTAACCCTGATGTCTTGAACAATGTCTTTTGTCATTAAGTGAGGATTCTCCAAGACATCTCTAACAATTTTCCTTTCCAGTCTCTCAGAAATGATCTATTTTCTGGCAATCCTGAATTTATTCTCAACACAATCTCTTTGTACTTCTTGATACTGATTTTCAATCAAGGAACATTGAAATGTTTGGAAATTGTTGTATATCCATCACCTTTTTTGTACGCATCATCTATCTACATTCAGAGCATCTTGTTAAGTTCAGACATTTTTGCCATGGTTGTAGAATAAATGAGTTATCATGGTATGTGACACTTGCATATTGTCTTCTTCATTACCTTTTAGAATGTTATACAATCAGGTCAATACTATTTCATTTTCAAAGGCTGTTTGTATTAAATGTCAAATTAAGAAAGAAAAACATTACAATTGCCATAAAGCAATATTATTTCATAATTTCCATAAAGAGGCGGGGGGGAGTAATTTTAGACAGCACCAACTTTTAGAAAAATCCAAAACTATGAATATAGATTGAAATTTCTAAAAATTTCATGAATTATTTAAAACTAAATACGGAATCAACTATTTATGGTAAATTCAATAAGTACTTGCAAATATTCACATTTCTTTAGAAAATAAAATATGCAAATATTCAGTTAATCCAAATCATGAAAAAAATATTTTACAAAAGAAACTTTAATTTTGAATATAATCCCTTTCCTTTTAACTTATTTAGGAGTGAACATTAGGTATGAAAGTAAAACAGTAAAAAATTTTCACATGACATGTATAGATTTGATTTGTAATATTTGATTTTCAGCTAAAAATAAATAATTGCATTCATCTGAAGGTATTGTTTTCCAGACGTATACTGCGAACAAAAAGAAAATTCTCTTCTAGATCTGGTCCAAATTCTGTTAGACAAAGTGTTTTAAACATTATATGCAGGGTCATCAGCAAAAAGACAAGCCTGAAATGCAGTTTACAGGTTGGAGTGATTATAATCAAGCAGGTGCGAAAATTTCAATATCTGGGAAGTGTTCTGACAGAGGGCGGAAAGTGTGACACTGAGATCCAAAGATGCCTTGAGATGGCCAAAGACACATTCCAAAAGCTAGGCAGAGTATTACAAGACAGGAGAGTCTCATTGGCAACAAAGAAAAGAATACTGAACTGCTACATGATATCTGTCCTCCTTTACAGTAGCGAATGTTGGAGAACCTCCTCAAGGATGAAGAAGAGACTCAAGGCAACAGAGGTGTGGTTCTACAGAAGGATGCTATCATGGACTGAACATATGAGCAATGATGAGGTTTTGGAGAAGATGCAAACAAAGAGGAAACTTATACTTAACATAAGGAAGAGGTGGCTGAAATTACTGGGACACATAAGGAGATCTTGCAAAATCTGAAACTCACAGGGCAGATAGAGGGAAAGAGGCATTGCGTGATATACTTAACAAGTTTAAGCAAGTATATGGCAGAACAAGTTCTGGGAGAAATAGAAAAAAGACAAAACTAATTGAGAGTTACAAAGGATAGGAAAAGGTGGAGAGCCATGATTGACTATGTCCTGAAAGGACATGGCACATAAAAGATGATGATGTCAGTTTTCTTCACACTAATATTCCCATATTAGTCTTTGGTTTTCTCCCCAAACTTTTTCCACAATGAAACTCATTTCCGATTTGCTTTATCCAGTATCGAATTTCGAATCATTTTTTTTCTCCAATTAATTTATTTAATTACTTATAAACATTTTTTGTTTTATTAATGATGTAGTTTTAACATTTTAATTATTTTCTTTTCTTCAAATTCTAAGAAAGCTAATATAGAAATGAAAAGTTCACACTTAATAGAATTTCAGAAATAAAGAAACTAGTCTTAATTAAGAAGAATAAAAAAAAATACTAAAGCTGAATGATTTATATTATAACACGATTTACATTTAATGATACACTGTTAAAGATTTAGGCTACATGCGGAAATCTATGTCATCTGAGTGAATAGAGTCACTCCCAAAATTGCATGTAAGATGGTGAAGATAAAAAAATGAAGCAACATAACATGCCATCAGATAGAGTAGTTTTATTTTTCATAATTCTTGTTGCACAAATGTTCATATGATTTGTGAATTCATCTAAAATCATTGGGTTAATTTCAAAGTAAATTAACTCAAAACATTCAAAGTTTTTATGTACAAGGATATATGCGTTTCAATAGATTAAATTCAGTAAAATATAAGGATTTTCAGTCATCACAGAATTTACAAAATATCCTACAGAAGGTAGCACTGGAGAGCAAGAAGAAAGGACTAAGCATAAACTACAGAATGCATGGTCATCAGTAAGAGGATGAGCCTGAAATACGATTTGAAGGTCAGGAACACTAAAATCAAGTAGACGTGGAAGTTTAAACATCTGGGAAGTGCCTTGACTGAGGACAGTAAGTGAGACACTGAAATTCATTGGCATATTGAGATGGCCAATGTGGGCTGTGGAGAGTTTAATAAAGAGCATAATTTACTATATGAGAACTGGCAAAAACAAAAAAGGTCATTTTTATATATATATATATATATATATATTTGTTTTTCTTTTATGTTTAATTATAGCAACCTGCACTGAAGCAAATATCCGGAGCAAACAATAAAATTTGATCAATAATTATGAACGCAAAGAAGCAGCGAAAGTTCAGGGCCCAAAAGAGGATAGGAAAAAAAAAGTTTCTTTCAAATGAAATAAAAGCAAACTTAAAACCAAACAAAAAAATATATTCGGAAGGGAGAAAACAAAACTAGGTGCGCATATTCAGAGTGGGTTAGTCCAAGAGAGTGAATGAATAGACAACAGAGCCAACGGATTTTCACCCCTTTAAGAGTTCGTCAAGTGCATTTTATTGTAAAAGTATCTCATTTCTTGAAACAAAGCCAAAACATTTTCTCCCCACATCATCCTCCTACTGTCCCCCAAATCTACATACTACTGTGACCAAACTTTCCCCTAGCGTTCCTGATTTTTTCTCTCCGAGGTCCAAAAGAACAGCAGGGTTCAAGAGAGCAGACAGCAATGGAGTCGGTTTTGAAAAAAAACTTTTGATGAGAAGAACATATCCAATTTTTGTTAATCATATATGAAGGAAACAGTCCAATGTAGAAAAAAATAGAATTTATACATTCTGCGTTCAGTTCTAATACTTGACAAATAAATGCATAAGTATGGTAGAGAGACACATTGAGAAAGCAAAAGAAAAACATTCATTTCAAAGATACATAAGAAATTATAAAAGATTGACAGGTAAATAGTGAAAAAATTTACAAGGCAAACATGAAGGGAATGTCTATAGAAAGAAGCAGACAGCAAAATGAGTAAACAATAAAAAACAGAAAGAGACAGAATGGCCAAGCAAGGAAAACCAACAGACTAGTCACATGAGATGAGAGGAACAGTATGGCCATGTGAAGGAAAAGAGAGAGAGAGACCAACAGACTAGTCACATGAGATGAGAGGAACAGTATGGCCATGTGAAGGAAAAGAGAGAGAGAGAGAGAGAGACCAACAGAGGAAAAAATAAAAGTGGCAAAGGAAAGAGAATGATAAGGAAAAAAAAACTGAGAGACAGATAGGAGGAAAAGAAACAGAGACTGATAGGAGGAAAAGAAACCGAGAGAATGATATGGAAAAGAGACCGATGGAATGATACGGAAAATAAACCAAGAGAATGAAAAGAAACTCAGAGACTGATACAGAAAAGAAACTAAGAGACTGATAGAGAAAACTAACACGGAGAATGACAGGAAAAAATAACAGAGATAATACGGAAAAGAAACCGAGAGAATGATAGGGAAAAGAAATCTAGAGAATGATAGGGAAAAGAAATCTAGAGAATGATAGGGAAAAGAAATCTAGAGAATGATAGGGAAAAGAAATCTAGAGAATGATAGGGAAAAGAAATCTAGAGAATGATAGGGAAAAGAAATCTAGAGAATGATAGGGGAAAATAACTGCAAGAGTGATAGGAAAAAGAAACTGAGAAAATGATACGGAAAAGAAACAGAGAGACCGATAGGAGGAAAAGAAACCGAGAGACCGGTAGGAGGAAAAGAAACCGAGAGACTGGTAGGAGGAAAAGGAACAAAGAGAATGATACGGAAAAGAAACAAAGAGACTGATACGGAAAAGAAACAAAGAGAATGATATGGAAAAGAAACAAAGAGAATGATACGAAAAAGAAACAAAGAGAATGATACGAAAAAGAAACAAAGAGAATGATACGAAAAAGAAACAAAGAGAATGATACGAAAAAGAAACAAAGAGAATGATATGAAAAAGAAACAAAGAGAATGATACGGAAAAGAAACAAAGAGAATGATACGAAAAAGAAACAAAGAGAATGATACGAAAAAGAAACAAAGAGAATGATATGAAAAAGAAACAAAGAGAATGATACGGAAAAGAAACAAAGAGAATGATACAGAAAAGAAACAAAGAGAATGATACGAAAAAGAAACAAAGAGAATGATAGAGAAAACTAATACAGAGAATGACAGGAAAAACTAACAGAGATAATAATAGGGAAAAGAAACTGATGGAATGATAGGGAAAAGAAACTGATGGAATGATAGGGAAAAATAACTGCAAGAGTGATAGGAAAAAGAAACCAAGAAAGCAATAGGGAAAAGAAACAGAGATTTACAGGGAAAAGAAACTGAGAAAATGATAGGGAACAAACACAAGAGATTGACATGGAAACAAAACTTGGTGAATGATAGGCAAAAGTAAACAAGAGATTGATAGGAAAAGAAACATGATTACAAAATCTTTTTCTGAAGATGTTTGCTTTTCCCTAATAGCTCAATATGTTTAAAAAAAAAAATAAACAATGTATGTCTGACATGTCATCTTAACACCTACCAGAACATGAGTCCAGCACTTTACCACCTATAATTAAACCCCCCAAAACATCACACCATATCTTCTTTGTTGTCATCTCAACCTGTGAAGGTGGTTTTTACCAGTAACCACCCAGTCTTCACTCTGTCTGGTCCATCAAGAATAAGATAGCATTCAGCAAAGAATAAGATAGCATTCAGCAAAGAAAAGAAAGGTCGCAAAAACCAGCCTTTTGTGTATTTTGCTTGATTGTTCTTATGGATGTTTTGCTTTTTTTTCTAAAAGGGTCAAGTGATCAGTCTTACTTGGTTCAGTCTTTGACATCTTACATTCTATTTCCTCACTGCCACTATGTCGAGCAATTACATAAATATGACAAAGACAGAATTTCCCAAAACTTTCTTTTAATATGAGACATCAATGGGCAAAGTCATGCAAGTTGCACTTATTGGTCTGATCGCAAAGTTGTCTTCGATCCATCTCCCATCATAACAACATTATATTAAACAAATATATTTCCAACAAAAACAAAGTGAATTCTTCTAAAAATAAATGCAACTGCCGAAAAAATATGATCTGCTCCTTAAATGGTCATTGTATGACTTAATATTGTATAATGAATGAGCATATGTTCCAGTAACGATGTTAAATTTTATTTTGATTCCACTAAAAATCCTTGGAAATTTCATTTCTACTATCATCAAATGACATTAGGTAATATAAAATACAAAAACAGCAATGCACATTCTAAATATTTCTGGCAATTGAAAAAAGATGGGAGTTCCCGTTCTATTAACCGAGATATTATAGCAAGAGCTAAATCTTATAATGGAAAAGGAAATAAATGTAACTTATGTCCTGTTGAAAAACTGGTTATTTTAAAAAACTTAAATAATCCGAGCTTATTAAACAAGAGAAATGAATTGATGGTTACACATAGGCATAAAAATAAATATCTGCTTAAATATGTTGATCCAGATTAATTTTTAATGTAAATTATAGATTATTTTTAATGAAAATTATATTTATTTATAATATGAATTAATTTTTTTAATATATACACACACAAACATATATATATGATAGTTGTTCCAACAAGAGTAAAATGTATATTTTAAAGAGAAGTGAGTAGCTGCAAACGTTTTTGATTATAATGTGTTTTTTTTTTTTTTGAATATATATTATACTTTATTTCTCATATTTTACTACATAAGTTTCAGGTCTTGCAACCTTCATCAGGTGAAGAGTGGTTATTTCCTCATATTTTTTGAAGGAATTAGTTTTCTTTATGTTTTCTAATGTTTAACCATTGTCTTTTGAGTGAACTAGTAATCTAAATATTCTTGAGCTTGTGGAGTAAATATTCTTCTACTTAAAGGGTAATAAAACATTTAGTATTGGTCAGAAAAAGAAGGAAGGAAAGGGAGTCTTTGTTCTCATCTTTTTATGGTCTCTGTATCTTTGTAAATCTGTCTATTTTTGTGTATTGCATGTGTGCGTGTGTCTGTTGCGTCCATCAAGTGTGTTTGTTTTTGCCAGTATGTGCATATATATTCATTCTCTATAGATATTCATGTGTGTGTGTGGCCCAACTAGTGTGTTTGGCCATTTTGTGTGTATGGCGTGTGTTCATGCGTGTGGGTTTATGATCCATTTAGTGCTGGTTTAAATTTTTTGGTTTTAAAGTTTTTTTTCTTGTATTTGTAGGTAAGAATAATTTTCTGTTTCTTATCTGTGCTTCTTATGTTTCCATGAAAAATTACAAATAATCAAATTTGCTGACAAAAAAAATCTGTTAAACTGAAGGAGTGAATTAAACTGTGTCGGCAATTTACAGTTATCTTTTACCTTAAAATAATAGCTAAATTTTTTTAAAAATTATGTATAACCATTTCTTGTAGCCATAATTTATTAGTATATAATGGTCCATAATTACAATGGATAATTACCTTATTTTGTTTAATCAGCTTAAATATTGTTATGTATTGCCATCTATTTGGTATTATTAATATCTTATATAGATGTGTTATATTTTTAATTCTATCTACAGGCCCCTTTAAGAAGCTTAAAAAAAAAATTTTCTGCTAACTTTATGTCTAATCAGCCCACCCCTCCCTTCAACACATTTTCAAAAATTGAACATCTCATATTTGTCTAGAATCACGATATATTTGTCACTGGCATATTTTCCGCAATCCTCAATGATGGCCTGCCTATGTTCAAGTTTATCATGACATGAAAAAATAACTCAGCCATCTCCAACCTCTGAGCTTACATTTCTATTTAGTGTAGATTTGACAAGTAATTGGTTAATCAAGACATACCCACAAGTCTATTTTTAATTCTGACCTTATGTTCCCCACCTTCAATGTTCGGAAATGTTTGTTTTTAAATTTCCTTAAAAGTCACTTAATCACCAGTTTTGAAACATGAAAACTTTTGTGCAGTGATTTCATAATGTTTTAATTATAATCTCTTATAATAAAAATATAATAATATAATGCTTTACTTTGTATTAAGCACTTGAAATGAAAATACTATGAACAGTGGATTTGAACTTCATCTGTTCTTTCTCTCATTTGGAGATCTACTTTAAAAAAAAAAAAACAGAGATAAATTGAATCAACTGACCTCCTGATTTTTAAAGTTAAAAGCTCTACATGTTATTTGTAACATTATTTTATTTTTTCACACATTTAGTGAGCACTTTTTAATACTACTGTTTACTGGTTTAATTCAACTCTGACCATTAACCCTTTATGCATTATATATATATATATATATATATATATATATATATATATATATACGCATACACATATGCATACACACAAATATATACACACACACATACATATGTATGTATGTATGCACATACACACACACATACATATGTATGTATGTATGTACATACATGCATACACACACATACATATGTACATACATACACACATATATATATGTATATACAACCTCCTCCAAAAGTATTGAAGTGGCAAGGTCAATTCCTTTCTTTTTGTTGCTCACTGAAGACATATGGTTTTAAGATTAAAAGATGAATATGAGACAAGAGTTCATAATTTCCTGGTATCTACACTTAGGACATAGCACATTTTGTTTGAACCCATGACTGACAGGTGTTTCTATATTATCTTTTAGATTGATTGTTTAAACATTAAATAGCCCTGAATGATTACTCTTTGTTTTGCCTTGGATTTCACCTGTGAAATCTGCATTTCTTGTTAAAAAGGATAAACCAACATGAAGATTCAAAAGCTATCTATGGGAGAAAAACAATCCACTTTGAAGCTGAGAAAAGAGACTACTGGTATACTGAGCAACAGACATAGAACAGGTCGGCCAATGAAAACAACAGTAGTTGCTGACAAACATTGTGTGAGCTGTGAGAAAAAAACACCAAAACAACCTCCACAGTGCAAGAGTGAAAGTTTCACAATCCATCATTTGAAGAAGACTATAAGAGCAGAAATATAGAGGCTATATCACAAAATGCAAACCACTCATCAACAGTAAGAATCAGAAAGGCGTCAGATGGTATTTCCAAGGAAGTACAGAGATAAGTGACAAAAGTTCTGGAAGAAAGTTTTATGGACTAATGAAACCAAAATTAATCTCTACCAAAGTGATAGAAATGACAAAATGTGGAGAAAGGATGATCCAACGCATGAAGCATGATGGAGGCTGTGTCTTGGCTTGGGCTTGTATGGCTGGAACAGGCACATTTACTGATGATGTAACTCATGATGGTAGCAGCAGAATGAATTCAGAAGTCTACAGAAACATTTTCTCTTCCAATTTACAGAGAAATGCATCCAAACTAATCAGGAAGAATTTTATCATGCAGCAGAACAATGACCCAAAACATACTGCCAACACAACAAAGGACTTTACCAGGAGGTAAAGTTGGAGAGGTTTTAGATTGATCAAGTCAATCACTGGACAACCCAATAGAGCATACATTTCATATCCTGAAGAGAAGAGTGAAGGAAGAAACACACTGAAACAAATAAGAACTGAAAGCAGCTGCTTTAAAAGTCTGAAAAAGCATCACAAATGAAGAATTCAACAATTTGATAATGTCATTTGGTCTCAGGCTTCATGCGATAAAATATTAAATGTTATATATGTTAAGACTATCTATTCCAGTAGTTTTGCACACTTGAAAAATAGGTGGGTTCAAACAAAAGGTGGTATATCTCCTAAGTTGTTTAACACGTCTAAATGTAAATACAAGGAAATAAAAGCTGAAATTCTGAACTCTTGTCTCGTCTTCATCTTTTAACCTAAAACCCAAATGTCTTCAATGAAAATAAAAACAAAGGAATTAGCCTTGCCATTTCAATATTTTTGGAGAAGACTGTATGTGTTTAGGTAAAGCAAAAGAAGTTCTCTTAGTCACTGTGTTTATCCAAAAATAAATATGCTTAAATTCATCCCCCCCCCATGTGCCAATAGCTTAGAGGTAGAATCTCTACATGCATATAGATACATATACATATATATATATATATGCATATAGATACATATACATATATATATATATATATATATATATACATGCATATAGATAGATACATACATATATACATGCATATAGATACATGTATATATATATATATATACATACATATATATACATGTATATATATATATATATATATATATACACATGCATATAGATACATATATATATATATATATATATATATATATATACATATATAGATACATGTATATATATATATATATATATATATATATACATACATATATATATATATATATATATATATATATACATGAATACATATATATATATATATATATATATATATATATACATGCATATATACATGTATATATATATATATATATATATATATACATGCATATAG